ATAATATAACGAGAATCTACCCAAGAATATAATCGACGATTAAATTATCTGCGTATGTATTACCTAGATAAATTAACAAGGATATAACCTAGAATGTAACCGACGATTAAATTGTCTCCGTATATAGTACCCGGACAAGATAACGAGAATCTGACCGAGAATATAATCGACGATTAATTTTTCTATATACATGTTACCCGGATAATATAACGAGAATCTAACCTAGAATATAAACGACGATTAACTTCTGTGCGTATTTATTACCCAGATAAAATAACGAGAATATAATCGACGATTAAATTCTCTACGTATATATTACCCGAATAATATAACGAGAATCTACCCAAAAATATAATCGACGATTAAATTATCTACGTATATAATACTCAGATAAATTAACAAGGATATAACCTAAAATGTAACCGACGATTAAATTCTCTTCGGATAATATAACGAAAATATGACTTAAGATATAACCGACGATTAAATGACATCTCTGCAAATTCATGAGAATTGATTTTTTTCAATAACATTTAAGTTATCTACATATATAAAAGCCAAATACCACTCACCGAGCCTGACTCATCATCTTCCAGCCCAAAACAGATATCTATATCTATATCTGTATTATATACGCATCTACATATACATATGATATCATCTGATACATATAAATACTCATATTTCTACATAGTATATATAAGCTTGTGCCAGGTCAAAAGAATCGCCTGCGAAGTTTTCTTTTCTCGAGAGTTCGCATTAGTGACGTATTAGTGACGTAATTAGGCGCGAAACTGTACCGAGTTACCAGGTCCTAGGGAAGTTTCTGGGGCCTTTCGTCGCCAGGAGTAAACATGTCCGCCGTCCATTGGCAGGCCTATCGAGTGTCACGTAAAGCTTCGCGAAAAGGCGGCCTCCGCTACGCAGGGGAGGGGGAAAACATGCCGGGAAGGTCAAGCGCGGGCGAGATCTCACGAACGATTTTCATCGAGAGCAGGGGGCCTATTACGTAAAGCAAATTGAGGGAAAATGTGAAAAATGAGTAGCTCACCGTATTACGGAACGTTCATATTAATTGGCTCGGTACAAATTTTTATCTATTATGTAAAGCAAATTGAGCCGAAATGTGAAAAATGAGTAGGTCACGATATTACGGAACGTTTTTCGTGGTGAAAATGCGAGACCATTCATATTAATTGGCTCGATACAAATGTTTATCTATTATGTAAAGCAAATTGAGCGAAAATGTGAAAAATGAGTAGATCACGGTATCACGGAACGTTTTTCGTGGTGAAAATGCGAGACCATTCATACTAATTGGCTCGATACAAATGTTTATCTATTACGTAAAGCAAATTGAGCGAAAATGTGAAAAATGAGTAGCTCACGGTATCACGGAACGTTTTTCGTGGTGAAAATGCGAGACCATTCATATTAATTGGCTCGGTACAAATGTTTATCTATTACGTTAAGCAAATTGAGCGAAAATGTGAGAAATGAGTAGGTAACTGTATTACGGAACGTTTTTCGTGGTGAAAATGCGAGACCATTCATATTAATTGGCTCGGTACAAATTTTTATCTATTATGTAAAGCAAATTGAGCGAAAATGTGAAAACTGAGGAGCTCACGGTATTACGGAGCGTTTCTCGTAGTGAAAATGCGAGACCATTCATATTAATTGGCTCGATACAAATTTTTATCTATTACGTTAAGCAAATTGAGCGAAAATGTAAAAAATGAGTAGCTCACAGTATCACGGAACGATTTTCGTGGTGAAAATGCGAGACCATTCATATTAATTGGCTCGGTACAAATTTTTATCTATTACGTAAAGCAAATTGAGCGAAAATGTGAGAAATGAGTAGGTAACTGTATTACGGAACGTTTTTCGTGGTGAAAATGCGAGACCATTCATATTAATTAGCTCGGTACAAATTTTTAAGCGAAATGGTGAAGCATAGACTCGAGTCCTCTTCTTTACTTTTAACGGCTTTCCATCTTCCCGCCTTTCCTGCCTATAACCCAACTACCTCTCAACAATTTTCGATTTACAAGGTGTCTACCTTTATTTAACAATATTCGTTATTCACACAACAAAATAACGTTATTCGGCGAATAAACCCACGTGAGATGAAAAGGCGAGAAGTGAGCGCTCTCGTCAAAAATACATAATAAACGCCCAGGGTTGGGCAATTTCGCGTTTTTCGAAGTATTTCACGAATATTATGTAAGCCAAGTAGAAAATCATAGATAATCAGGCCAGAATCATAGAAAATCCGTAGAAAATCGTAGAAAATCGTAGAAATCCAGAGAAAATCGTAGAAGATCGTAGACAATTGTAGAAAATCTTTAAAAAAAAAAAAACCGTAGAACACCCGTAGAAATCCACAGAAAATAGTTGAAAATCCACAGAACTCCGTAGAAAATCCGTAGAAAATCGTAGAAAATCTGTAGAAAATCGTAAAAAGGCCGTAGAAAATCGTAGAAAATCCGTAGAAAATCGTAGACAATTGTAGAAAATCCTTAAAAAAACCGTAGAACACCCGTAGAAAATCCTTGAAAAACCCGTAGAACACCCGTAGAAAATACGTAGAAATCCACAGAAAATAGTAGAAAATCCACAGAATTCCGTAGAAAATCGTAGAAATTTAGAGATAATTGTAGAAAATCGTAGAAATCTAGAGATAATTGTAGAAAATCGTAGAAATCTAGAGATAATTGTAGAAAATCGTAGAAAATTCGTAGAAAATCGTAAAAAGTCCGTAGAAAATCGTAGAAAATTTGTAGAAAATCGTAGAAAATTTGTAGAAAAACGTAGAAAATCGTAGAAAATCCGTAAAATTCCGTAGAAAATCGTAGAAAATCTTAGAAAACCCGTAGAAATCCATAGAAAATCGTTGAAAATCCGCAGAATTCCGTAGAAAATCCGTAAAAAATCCGTAGAAAATCGTAAAAAAATCATAGAGAACTAATAATTTACGTTTCCAATATGCAGAATGCCGCATATGTCCTATATACGGTATCCGATCATAAGCGTCTTTTATGGAGTTCTCATTCATGTTCCAATCGCCAATTATCATAATAAAAATTATAACGCGCACGTGACATCACGCAATTTAATCTTACTCCTACGAGATAGCGAAAAATGTGATGCTTGATTATGAAAAAAAAGATATTTGAATTTCGAAGTGTCGCGAAAAAAAGATAATGGAACTCGAAGGAGCTCTCATTCATGTTCCTTATCGTTGATTATCTCGATAAAAAATGTAACGCGTACATAATACGACACAATTTAATCTTTCTCTTATGAAATTGCAATGCACGTGATGCTTGATGTTGCAAAAAAAATATTTCCACTTCCGACCGCCACGTCGAGTCGATTTATCGGGTAACGTAATTCGAAGTTTTTATTCCCCTTCAGAAACACTAATACCCTCAAAAATAAATCTAATACATACATAATCTCTCCCAATTAAATAGTAGTCCTACAGAATTGGGATACAGGCAATACTTGGTTTGCAAAAAAAAATGTATGTTTCAGATTTATCGGGTAACGTAACTCAAAGAAGCTCTCCTTCTCTTTTCGCACCACAAATCGCTTAAAAAAAATGTCAATAGATGCACAATATCTTCCAATTCAATCTTACTATTACAGAATTACCGTACAAACAATGCTTGAGTTACAAAAAAAAAAAATCTCCATTTCAGATCATCGTAACGAGTCAAGCTATAAGCAAACGTAACTCGAAGCAGCTTTTATTTTTATTCCATGACACCAATCACTTAAAGAAAATATTAACACATATATAACATCTCCCAATTAAATTGTAGTCTTACAGAATTGCAATATATGCAGTGCTTGATTTGAAAAAAAAAATTAAATATTGTAGAATGTTTCGCTCGCCTCGAAGAGTCGAGCTATCATTAAACGTAACTTGAATAAGCTTTTACTCTTTTTCAAAAACACCAATGACCTCAAAAAAAATGTATTAGATATGTAATGCCTTTTAATTAAATCGTACTCTTACCGAATTGCGATATATGCAGTGCTTGATTGAAAAAAAAATTTAATTCTGTAGAATGTTTCGTTCGTTGCGAAGAGTCGAGTTATCACTAAACGTAACTTGAATAAACATTTACTCTTTTTTAAAAACACCAATGACCTCAAAAAAAATTTATTAGATACATAATGTCTTTCGATTAAATCGTACTCTTACAGAATTTCGATATATGCAGTGTTTGACTTAAAAAAAAAAATTCCAATTCTGTAGAATGTTTCGTTCGTCGCGAAGAGTCAAGTTATCACTAAACGTAACTTGAATAAACATTTATTCTTTTTTAAAAACACCAATGACCTCAAAAAAAATGTATTAGATACGTAATGTCTTTTAATTAAATCGTACTCTTACAGAATTGCGATATATGCAGCGCTTGATTTTCAAAAAATTCCAATTCTGTAGAATGTTTCGTTCGCCGCGAAGAGTCACTAAACGTAACTCAAAAAAGCTTATATTCTTTTTCAAAAACACCAATGACCTCAAAAAAAATGTATTAGATACCTAATGTCTTTCGATTAAATCGTACTCTTTCAGAATTGCGATAAATGCAGTGCTTGATTTAAAAAAAAAATTCCAATTCTGTGAAATTTTCCGACCGCCGCGGCGAATCGAGCCATCACCAAACGTAACTCGAAGAAGCTCCTCGTTGGAATTAAATGGAAGCTGGAAGTTCCCCTTAAACGAAAGCAAGGCCCTCCAATATAAAATATCCTGGGTGAAAATTCGTTAGAGTTCCTAGAGTACCCGCGAAATAGGGTAAATAGTCGGCATGGCGTACGTGACTCGCGACGTCCCGCTTATGGAGAGTCGGGGTATTGATGCGCCGCTCTCGGCGTCTCTCTCTCGCGGCCGGCCGGCCGCGTCGCTGCGTCTCCGTCGCGCGCTCGCACGTGCCCGGCTCGGGCCGCGTAGGAGGTTAGGAACACCCGCGAACACTCACCCCAGGACCTGCCGGCAGCTGAGCTCGCCAGGGCGCAGAAGGCGAGGATCGCTGCGAGGCCGAGCGACCTAAACCGGAGCATGCTGCCTCCTTCGACGGACGGTCATTACGTCGAGAGCGCGCGAGGTCGTCGGTCCGAGGACACGCGCGCGGCCCGAGCGTCGGACGGGAACTGAGCCGCGCGCCGGCAACAGTGCCTAGGTCGCGGCTCCTCAAGGCGCTCGCGGTCACTGGCGGTCACAGGCGCGACTGCCGCGCCGGCTCGACCCGACCCGGTCCGACCACCTCCGAAGATGCCCGAACGAGCCCGACCTCCAGCGCGCCCTCTACCCTCGCGCTGTCCGGAAAACCTCTGAACCAATTTGTAGGGTTGGATTGTCGATATTGCAATTATCGATTCGTTGAGATACTGAACATCGATACCCGACGACGTATCAGAAAAATCGTTTCGATATATTCGATATTTCCGATATTTTTTAATAAATGTTTATATCTTATTGATGCATTTTATAACATTATCGCAGTAATGACACGCACGTATTTTTTTATATATATCGACACGGCGAAAATCGAAATATCGACACGACGGAAAATCGGAAAAATTATATCGATATATTCGATATTTCCGATATTTTTTGTAAATATTTATATTTCATTGATGCATTTTATAACATTATCGCAGTAATGACACGCACGTGTTTTTTTTATATTTATTGACACAGCGAAAATCTAAATTGTACGAAAACGACAGGTGGCGTATGTCATTCGGTTTACTTCACCTGTCCTTCTCGTACAATAAATATCAAGAAATCGAAGTAAAACTCCAGGAATCCTTTGGATTCATGCCTTCTGGGGCCCTGATTGACTGCAGAAGGGCCCCCTGCGCCATCTGTGATTTCCAGGTCAATTCAATTTTCACTCCGAGACCTCGTATTCCCATCATTTTGGCAAAGAAGCGCATACAACACTTTTTTTGCCTTTATCACGTTCAAATGCGAGTTTATCGATTACCAGAGTGTTCTAAATTGTCGTAAAATTGTCTTGACCCTTTCGATTCTCATATCAGAGCCTTCGATAATTGTATATCGATCGAAATATGAGAGCTCGACGCCATTTTGGTTCTGGTCTGGGCTGAGTTAAAAAATTGTGTTGAAAATCCAAATTTTCAATGTGCAAGGACAATTCTTAGATGATCAGGAGCGATGTGTCAAAGAATCGGACAGTTTGGTCTAATACCCTTAAAAAAAAGTGTTGTATTCGAATCGACTAATTTGAAGGGGGTTTCACTTCACCTTAAAAATCCAAATTTTGAACGTGTCAGGACAATTCTTAGATGCTCAGGAGCGATGTGTCAAAGTTTCGGACAGTTTGGTCTAATACCCTTAAAAAAAAGTGTTGTATTCGAATCGACTGATTTGAAGGGGGTTTCACTTCACCTTAAGGGCGTCTTCGTTGGGATTCCCCCGTACCGGGGCAGCACCTCTACGAGCCGATCCGCCCTAGCGAAAAAGTAAAATTCTGTAAATTATATTGAGAAGCATTTATCATTAATTGATATTAAGGAGACGGGAAGGCAAGAAATTAAATTTCTACAAGACGTGATTATCATTTCGCTGCGTTCATTACTTAAGCCTTGAACTTGTCAAGACTTATCTGACCTCTTCGACCTTCGGAATTTGTCACCAAGTGCCGTGAGACGCTTGTCGATTAATTCGGTTCCCAATTCTTTGAAATAAAAACACAACGTTCCTTTGATTGAAGGCTTTGCATACAAACGACTTTTATTCTGAAGAAAATAGTACATACCGTCATAGATTAATCGGGCCCTGAATAAATGATATGCACGTGTCAGTTGTCGAAGATCAGGGACTGGTCTATCTCCTGCATATCGGCATCTGAACACATTTTCAGGAAAAAACATCATTAATGCAGATTAATTATGGCCTTAAGATGATATTGAAGGCGCCGAGAAATTTAATCGACGTCGATAAAGTCAAATTCATTTATACCCTTTTTGGTGGTTACGTTATTTTGAATACTCAAGTGGTAACATAAACTGGCGCGTCACGTTACCGACATTTATATTTATGTTGAAATCTTTTACAGTCTACGTTGAGAATTATACGAAATGAAACGTTTCATATGCCATTTTAGTAAAGTAGTGATGAAGAGATCGATGTAAAACTGTCGAAATCCCGGGAATTCATTATTCTAACGACTGTTTAGGACCAACGGCGCCATCTGTGACGTTTAGCTGCAACTAAATTTTTGCTCTAAAAACATATGTAATCTACGTGATAAGCCAGCATTCTCGTACAATCGTTCGTGAAGGTATATTCCATATTTGTTACAATCTACGTTGAGATTATACGAAATGAAACGTTTAATATGCCATTTTAGTAAAATAGTGATGAAGAGATCGATGTAAAACTGTCGAAATCCCGGGAATTTATGATTGTTGATACTCTAATGGGCCAATGGCGCCATCTGTGACGTTTAGCTGCAATTAAATGTTTGCTCTAAAACATATGTAATCCACGCGATAAGCCAGCATTCTTGTACAATTGTTCGTCAAAGTATTTTCCATAATTTTTCATCTGACCCTGTAATATTCCATTTATACGGTATTCTAAATTGTTCATGCTAGGTCCTGAAATTCTTCATTTTCGATTTTAAGCCTCCAAAAATCGTAAAACGTCGAAAACGTGCACGGACCACGCCATGTTGGTTCTAGTCCATGATAAAGAAATTTTTAATGAATAATAAAATTTCATGAATTTCAGGACCTACTTTAGGGCCTTCATGTTTACGTGGAAAGTTTGAAACGAATTCGGTGAATACTTTCACGAACGATTTAACCTCTCAATACGTACAAGCTGACCCTTTCATTTCACCTTAATGGGATACAAATAAAGTAATGAACATTTACCAAAATTGACATCGGAATTAATTTTCAATCCTTCGATGGTCTTCTTTAAGGTTTCAAGTTGTAGACATCGAGTCCCAGTTTTAATAAGCTCGATATTCAAGGCATCCACGTGGTTTATCTAGATATAACAATGGATGAAATTTAGAGTAATTAACACATTTTCTATTTCCACATAAATAAATATGAACACTTACAACATTATCGTAGGCTTTATAACCGACATCCTTCTTCTCCGGATCAGAAGATTGCAGGGTATTTGTGAAGTCATTGATAAAAGGAACAGCATCGTGGAAAAATTTGACGCTTTCGCTGTAATGAAATAAATGGCAAATTAACAATCATTGTTTTAATCTGAACAACCATTTTATAGAGTATATCGAGTGATGTGAAAGCTGGTTGTGAACGGTTAATTGCCTGGATACACTTTTTTTTTCAAAATAGATGAACCCATTCGTCTAAAATCTTAACACATAATTATGGAGTCGCTTAGATCGTTCCTGATATTGAAAAAAAATGTTTAGATACCGATAGACATTGATGTCCTGTTCGATGTACCAGAATTCTTTTTTACGAACATCGATTAAACTTCTTGACGGCCTTCACATCACCTTAAATTATTTAAATAATACCTACTCTTGGTATTTGCAGGTGATCGGCAGTTTGGAGACACTCGTATCATTAATAGACTTATGTATGGTGTGTTTACACGCAGTAATGTCATTAAGGTTTCGACCGATCTTCTCAGCGATCTGTATGGACTGCTCTGCAATTAATTCAATAAGAACTTATTAAACAATTGAATCATTTATCTTATTGTTTACTGCTCAAGGCTTTCAATGTTTACTTCTTGCACTGGATCGATTGGACATGCATGTCAATGGTTATTTGTCTTAAGAATGTAAACGATATCCAGTTCGGCATGTTTCCTCAGAATATGAGTGCGCAGTCAATTGTCGGTATTGTTCAAATGCACTGGATTTTTTCGACATAAAATCTAAAGAGCGCGAAAGCGGCACAGGACTCAAACGATTACTTTAGGGACAATGTATAAAGTTAGTTAATGCTATAAATGTGAGCTAAACATGGTGTTACTCCATGTTCCCGTCACCATCTCACCATGACTCAAATATGAGTTACGGGCGCTGCAATTGTTTATCGACAATGTGAGAGATAAATTTAGCAGTACATATGCGTACAAAAATTGAGACATTGCATGTACTTAACTTTGTTTTGTATTTAAGTATTTTTGGTCCGTCAGTCTGTACTACAAATATGAGTTCCAAATGAGGATTCACGAGCAACAATCTCATGACTCATTTCATGATCCTTTATGCGGCACATTTCATGAAAATTTTACATCACTTTGTCTATCTGGAGATAATTACATATCCGACCAATCCATTGAATAACCAGTACAAGCAAAACTGAAACAGCGGCATGATAAGGAAACGTCAAAAGTTTACCTTGCACGCTTGTAAGACGTTTCAATATTTCATCGTATTCAGCTTTTCGAACTGCTTCAGATTTCCGTAGTTGTTCAGTTTTCAATCGATTCTTTTCTTCCAGGACAGATATCAACGATTCGGCCATTCTTTCCGGTTGTTCGCAATTAAAAGCAAGAACATCTTCCTCCCTATTGCCGCCACAGACGCCATTTTGAATCCTTGTAGCGACACCAGTGATGCCAAAGTATGAACTAAAGAACTCACTAGATGGTTTCAGTGTCGCCATTCAGCTTATTTTCTACTAGATCCAGGGGTTCTATTACGTAAAGCACATTGAGCGAAAATGTGAAAAATGAGGAGCTCACGATATTAGGAACGTTTTCAGCGGTGAAAATGCGAGACCATTCATATGAACTGGCTCGACACAAATTTTTAAGCGAATTAGTGAAGCAAAAAGAATAGATAGAAAAATAAGCGCCATGAACGCCATCTTCCACGGATTGTGACACCAAAATTCAAAATGGAAAACCTCCTGGGTGTTTTAATTTTTAGCAACGATCGTATTCGGGGATGTAATAACAGAGATCTTGTATGCTTCACCATTTCGTTTAAAAATTTGTGTCGAGCCAGTTCATATGAATGGTCTCGCATTTTCACCACCTAAACGTTCCGTAATACCGTGAGCTACTCATTTTTCACATTTTCGCTCAATGTGCTTTACGTAATAGATAAAAATTTGTACCGAGCCAATTAGTATGAATGGTCTCGCATTTTCACCCCCAAAAACGTTCCGTAATACCGTGAGCTACTCATTTTTCATATTTTCGCTCAATTTGTTTTACATAATAGATAAAAATTTGTATCGAGCCAATTAGTATGAATGGTCTCACATTTTCACCACCTAAACGTTCCTTAATACCATGAGCTACTCATTTTTCACATTTTCGCTCAATGTGCTTTACGTAATAGATAAAAATTTGAACATACCGAGTCAGTTCACATGAATGGTTTCACATTTTCACCACCTAAACGTTCCGTAATACCATGAGCTACTCATTTTTCACATTTTCGCTCAATGTGCTTTACGTAATAGACCCCCTGCCGGGGACCCAGAGACCTAAGCCACAGACTTTGACTCGAGCCTGAAGCAACGAAGATAACTCGACAGACAAAGACCCAGGAAAGCAAAACGAATTCAAAAAGTCAAAATACTGGGTCCATACACTTAGGCCGAAAACCAATATACGGAAGAAGAAGAAAAAGGTTCTGGGTTTCCATGGAACTTCTGAAATCTTTGGTCCATCACATTAGGTTTTTATAATTACTTCGAGTTCCGTAATGAGGGGACTTTTGTTTGTTTTAATGCCTTGTTAATTCCAGGCTTCTCTTCAGTAATGAACAGACAGAGAAAAATGGTACAGTGATGGGCCTTTTTGAAATAACCTCCAAATATCATGTTAACGCAAAATGTGGAAAGCAATTATATGTCCACACTTATCATGTAAGCGATATTGGATTATTTTTCTCCGTCTCAGGAAGTACAACGTATCCCATAGTTCTTAACGATTACTTTTTGACCTGGGACATGACTTTAACCTATTCTGATAATTGCTTAGAAGTGTGTCTTAACCCGAAGCACAAATTCAATTGTTTAAAGCATGATGGATATGTCTATTCATCATGGTGCACGATATGCACTTCAAAATTTCCATATATACGTTATATTTTAACTATATCATATCGTAGCCCTGGCGATCGCGATAATTGGACCAAAAAGGTTGATTCGAAATATTGGTTGCCTCGTAGTGCAAAGTTTCAAAGGTCTGTGGGAAAATGTAAAATGCAATTCACAGAACACGAGAAGTCTGACGCACTTTCGGTAACTTGTCAGTTTTATGTGATAGAAGGAGTAAGTTCTGTGTATCAAGAAAGAGATGCATTTGAAAAACCCTCGTCACACTTCAGTAGCATCTTCAAGTCTCTTTGGGAGAACAGACACTTCGGTGACGTGACTCTGATAGTTTCGAACAACCAATTTTGTGCGCACAAGGCTGTACTTGCTGCGAGTAGTCCAGTTTTCCAAAGGATGTTTGAGAGCGAGATGCTAGGGGGAACTGAAAGTACAGTAGAAATAACCGACGTGGAAGATACTTTAGTTGAGTTAATGCTCAAATTCCTTTATCTTGGACCCGTCGAAGAAGTGAGAAATAAAGCTCATGAGCTAGTATATCTAGCTGATAAGTACGATATTACAACTATGAGGGAAATGTGTCTAAATGTTTTGCGTAGAAAATTGACTCTGGAAAACTCGGTGAATACTTTAATCCTTGCTGATAGACACAATTTACAATTATTGAGATCCTCAACTATTCGATACATTGTCAAGAATGTTAAAGTAATTAGAAATAGAACAGATTTCCCGCTATTAAAGGCATATCCTAATTTACTCTATGAGATTCTGTGTGAAATTAGTGAATCGGTTACCATGAAAGATGCGGAAGGACGTTATTTGAAAAATGAAAATTTGCTCAAAAATGCTGCATAGCATGTGTATACCTATCGTGTATTTTGTAACATTCTGTTCATGTTTTGAAATTCTTTACAGCGAGATTATATTTTTATGCATTTCATAATGCAATGGTTAGATTTTTGTAAGCTTTAATAGATTTTAAGATAGGAGTAATGAACTTTATGCGTCCCTTTCGAATTAGATTTTAAGGTTAAGCTGAGACTGAAACGAATTTCTAAAAGGCAGATTTATTTCATTGGCCCAGATTTATTCCGTAATAATTTTTAAGTTCCAAGATTTCATATTTCATGTTCCTCGAAATGATGTACAATATGTAATACCGCAATATACTTTTTATACATTTTTGGATTTAATGTGTGTTACTATTTCTATAAAATAATTTCTGATTAAACTGGAGAACTTTCTGGAAAATATAATTAAAGCTCATTATATAAATCGTGCAACAAATTTAATGTTTTGAATCTTCAAGATAACGATATCTTATTTCAAACAGGTAAGAGTAGATATTTCTCTTGCGAACAACAGAGCTTTAAGGTGAAATGAAACCCCCCTCAAATCAGTCGATTCCAATACATCACTTTTTTTAAGGGTATTGTACCAAACTGTTCGAAATTTTGACACACAACTCATGATCATCTAACAATTGTCCTGACACGTTCAAAATACACTTTTCGTGCAAGTGTAGAAAGTGTAGGCAAAACGAACAAACCTCTATTATGCTCGCCATTTCGTTTAAAAATTTGTGCCGAGCCAATTCATACGAATGGTCTCGAATTTTCACCCTCAAAAACGTTCCGTAATACCGGAGCTCCTCATTTTTCACATTTTCGCTCAATTTGCTTTATGTAACAGACGCTCAGAGGTCGCTGTAAACACGTCTCGAAGAATTACATGCGAATGTGAGCCCTTGTTCCGCTTTATTTACGAATGATCTCGCATTTTCACCCTTGAAAACGTTCCGTAATACCGTGAGCTCCTCATTTTTCCCATTTTCGCTCAATTTGCTTTATGTCAGAGGTCGCTGTAAACACGTCTCGAAGAATTACATGCGAATGTGAGCCCTTGTTCCGCTTTATTTACGAATGATCTCGCATTTTCACCCTCGAAAACGTTCCGTAATATCGTGAGCTCCTCACTTTTCACACTTTCGCTCATATTGCTTTATGTAATAGCCTCCCAGAGGTCGCTGCAGACACTAGTCTCCAAGAATTACATGCGAGTGTCAGCTCTCTGTTCCGCTCTAATACTCTCAGGTCCAAACTGCGCATTCGCGTCCAGTCAGGACTTTGTCACTTTGCTTCGATGAGTCGTTAGTGACGTAATTCCGCGTTAGCCGTTCCCCGAGTCGAGAAAGTGTGGAAAAAGTGTCTAGTCGAGTCGGGTCGTGAATTTTCGAATCCTCGGGTGGGTGTTCTCTCTGTCAATTCATTCGCTCGCCTCCCCCTCCCCGGAGTGCTCGCCCCGTTGGAAGGTGCGCCTCTTGGAGCGAGCGCTCTGCCGACATGTCAGAAACCGATAGTGTCGTTCCCCAGCAAAAGCAGCAACAGCAGCAGCAGCAGCCTCCGCCTCCGCCGCCACCGCCGTTGCACCAGCAGCAGCAGCAACAACAGCAACAACAGCAGCACCACCACCAGCACCAACAATTTCAGCAGCAACACTCGGCCGTTCCTCCAATGGCGAACATGGCATGGCAGTACCCTCCACCGAGCAATCTGCACCTCTACCCTAATTACACTGGGTATACCTCTTTGCGGTTCCTTCTTCGAGGCTTTTCTTTTTATCACAAAAATTTAACGGCTTGGTTTTTAAATCGTTCACTGGGGTACCTCTTTGCGGTTCCCTCTTCGAGGCTTTCCTTTTTATCACAAAAATTTAATGGCTTGGTTTTTAAATCGTTCACTGGGGTAGCTTGTCCATGTGATACATTCTGAATCGTCGATATTGTGCTTTGAGTTTTTTTTCTTTACTACAAAATTATAAGGCATGCTTTTGAAATCGATCGTTGAAACAGCTTATCCTTGCGATACATTCTGAATCGTCGATATTGTGCTTTGAGCTTTTTTTCTTTACTACAAAATTATAAAGCATGGTTTTGAAATCGACCGTTGAAGCAGCTCGTCCTTGCGATACATTCTGAATCGTCGATATTATGCTTCAAGCTTTTTTTCTTGACTACAAAATTATAAGGCATGGTTTTGAAATCAACCCTTGAAGCAGCTCGTCCTTTCGATACATTCTGAATCGTCGATATTATGCTTTGAGCTTTTTTTCTTTACTACAAAATTATAAAGCATGGTTTTGAAATCAATCATTGAAGCAGCTCGTCTTTTTGATAGATTCTGGATTGTCGCTATTATGGTTTGAGTTGTTTTTCTTTACTGTAGAAAGTGTAGGCAAAACGAATACATTTAGACTTTAGAATATACTTAGATTTTAGATACGTAGACTAATCTAACAAGGAAGGTACCTCAGGTGTCCCTCTCCGATTTTGTTTATTTTTAAGTATGTTATAGAGGACTAAAATCTAAGGGACCCGTGGTTTTTTTTATCGGCGGATAAACACTTTTAGAGTGTGAAATCAGGCTTCAAGGTTGGCCGAGCAAGAGGGTGAGTTGGCTGTTTCATATAGAAGCACTCGACCGATTTTCATGGAACAACCGTCAAAATGTAGGGAATGAAGAATTATGAAACATGCATTTGGAATTTTTAGAAAAAATTCATTTTTAAGGGGTGAGCCACCCCTTTGAATATTTCTTTTACCCCTTACGCGAGCAGTAATTGCTCTATCCAAATGAAACTTGGTTAATTTATAGACCAGAACAATACAAAAAAAGTTTCATTTGGATAGAACAATTACTGCTCGCGTAAGGGGTAAAATAAGTATTCAAAGGGGTGGCTCACCCCTTAAAAATGAATTTTTTCGTAAAATTCCAAATGCATCTTTCATAATTCTTCATTCCCTACATTTTGACGGTTGTTTCATGAAAATCGGTCGAGTGCTTCTATATGAAACAGCCAACTCACCCCCTTGCACGGTCAACTTTGAAGCCTGATTTCACCCCCTAAAAGTGTTTATCCGCCGATAAAAAAAAACACGGGTTCCTTAGATTTTAGTCCTCTATAACATATTTAAAAATGTACAAAATCGGAGGGGGACACCTCAGGTATCTTCCTTGTAAGTATTAATAATGACCTAACGGCCTGGTTTAGGCGCATCGTCCAACAAAAGGTAGGCTATATTTTTCGACTGGGAGCGGATTAGGGTTTATGACCCGGTCACGAGAATTATCGACAAAGGGGGACTATTGAATATTAAACTTTGTAGCCCGTTCTTCTAAATTCAAAGTTTCCGTGAGCGGGGATTCCCTGACTGCAGGATTATTACAGGGGCCATAAATGTCCCTTTTGTCGGATCAGCGCGATTAAGGACCTCGGAAGACCCGCTGAATATAATTACTTATTGTTAGATTCGCTATGTACATTTAAGGTGAAGTGAAGCACCCTTCAAATCAGTCGATTCGAATACAACACTTTTTTTTAAGGGTATTAGACCATACTGTCCGAAACATTGACACATCACTCCTGATCAACTAAGAATTGTCCTGACGCATTCAAAATTTGGATTTTTTAATAACATTTTTTAACTTAATCCAGACCAGAACCAAAATGGCGTGGAGCTCTCATATTTCGATCGATATACAATTATCGAGGGCTCTGATATGAGAATCGAAACGGTCAGGATAATTTTACGATAATTTAGAACACTCTGGTAATCGATAAACTCGAATTTGAACGGAATAAAGGCAAAAAAAGTGTTCAAATCGTGTCATGTAAGCGTGAATTATTTAACAGTTTTCAATGTTTAATAATGCAATATAACCTCGCAATAACAAGAACTAACCTGTACATCCTAGTAAATTCTCTTTCTTCTAACGAAAATGGGTCTGAGTCATCACGTAATTCCCATCTTCTTCTAATAAGGTTATCATTACGACCTCGAATACGATTGTTGCCAAAAATCAAAACACCCAGGTTTTCCAATTTAAATTTCGGTCTCACAATCTGTGGAAGATGGCGCACACGACGCTTATTTTTCTATGTTTTCTTGTATGCTTCCCCATTTCGCTTACAAATTTGTGTCGAGCCAGTTCATACGAATTGTCTCGCATTTTCACCACCAAAAACGTTCCGTTATACCATGAGCTCCTAATTTTTCACATTTTCGCTCAATTTGCTTTACGTAATAGACCCCTAGGTTATCATTACATCCCCGAATACGATTGTTGCCAAAAATCAAAACACCCAGGAGGTTTTCCATTTTGAATTTCGGTCTCACAATCCGTGGAAGATGGCGCACACGACGCTTATTTTTCTATCTTTTCTTGTATGCTTCCCCATTTCGCTTAAAAATTTGTGCCGAGCCAGTTCATACGAACGGTCTCGCATTTTCACCACCAAAAACGTACCGTAATACCGTCAGCTCCTCATTTTTCACATTTTCGCTCAACTCGCTTTACTTAATAATAGACCCCTAGGTTATCATTACGTCCCCGAATACGATCGTTGCCAAAAATCAAAACACCCAGGAGGTTTTCCATTTTGAATTTGGGTCTCACAATCCGTGGAAGATGGCGTTCACGACGCTTATTTTTCTATCTTTTCTTGTATGCTTCCCCATTTCGCTTAAAAATTTGTGTCGAGCCAGTTCATATGAATGGTCTCGCATTTTCACCACCAAAAACGTTCCGTTATACCGTGAGCTCCTCATTTTTCGCATTTTCGCTCAATTTACTTTACATAATAGACCCCCTGGTTAAGATCCACTACGCAACACTAACGATACTTGCGGGAAAGCCTCGAAAAACGTGAAATTATCAACCCTGGTTATGATCTAGTATGCGACACTAGCGATCCTTGCGGGAAAAAGGTTGTAGTTCGAATATGCAATGTGGTGACACTTAAAATATGACTCGTTTGTGCTACTATTTACATTTGGTACAGATGTAAACACAGTGGGCTTGTCACCGGTCTTGTTTCTATTAATTAATATTTTTAAAATATTAAGTAATAGGTGTCGTGGTGGTTAATAAATATTCTGGGATTTTCATGTAAGTACTTTTAGACGACATTTTGTGATAATTTAAAAGCGTTTAATTTTTCAGCAAAAGTTGTGAAGGTTTGGTAATTTCATGTTTTTCGACGTATATTACATAAACCAAGTAGTTTACCGCAGAAAATCGTAGAAAACCAATAAATTACGTTTACAACAGAGAGGGTGACACAGTATACGATATACGGTATCTGCTAGGTTATAAACGTCTTTTAGCACATATATAAGCACGTAAATAATTTTAAGGAATTATAAATGAATTAATTTAAGATATATATAATATATATAATAAATTAAGTAATTTATAATTATTTAATTAATAATAGTAATACAAAATTTGACACTTGAGTTCAACATTGATTAGAATTTTACATTTCTAATATGCCGTATGCCGAAGATGCACGATATATGTATCCGCTAGTTGTAAACATTTTTTAACGCACATGTAAACATTATGAGGACTAATTAATTCCATGATTGTATTTACAATTCTTTCAACGTAATCCTGTATAATATCAAATTTCCAACTGGATTTGTTATTTTATATTTGAAAATAGAAGGATGTAATATACTTCGTGCTCTCGGAGAAAACTAGGAACGTATTATACGTTGTAATATATATGTAGAATATCACATATATTAGATGACGTATTATATTTGTCCAACCCTGGAAATAAGTAAATTACAACGTACTTTACTGTACAAATTTCATGCGTGATGTAAATTGCACAAACATGCGACTTTGTTTTGTAGTTCCTATATCGGGTACACTGAAAATTCATAACGTCATGGAATTTATGGGAAAGTGGAATGTTTAAGCATAGATCTTTTTAATGGTTCGCTCCTACTTGCCATTCTTCTTTGTTCCTCTCTTTTTGTTGACTAAAATGTTCATTTACAAGTGACGTATATTTTGATCACTTTGAAAAAGTGAGGTTACAGTTCCGCCGTCTTTGTTGTGGAACTTATTAGGTATTTTACTTGGATTTTACGTAAAATACTTAAGGGAAGCACTTTATATGATATCCAAGTACGTAAAATACTTTCCTTAAGTATTTTACATAAAATCCAAGTACGTAAAATACTTCCCTTAAGTATTTTAGGCGGAAAACCTCGAATGACGTGTCACTGCACAACTATGGTCGCTGGTATCTGTATTCGTTAACTCGACAAAGAGAAAGAATGTTACATTTATATGGAAATGAGAATTCCTTATGCTACCTCATGTACATGAAATCTAATGTATCGAGGTTATTTAAGTATTATGCGAGCTCTTGTTAAATATCCACCAATGACAATAGAAGTTGAGGTATTGTTTTCCTGTTTGCAGACATATGTACGGGCAAGGATTCAGTCCGCATGGGCAAATGTTTTACTACAACCAGGGATTGATACCCGGCTATGGACAGGCGTTCAATCCGCAGCAGCTTCCTCAACAGGCGCAGCAACAGCAGGCAGCGCAGAATATTCAGGGAAAACCGAAGGCTCGTCAGCAGCCACCGGTACCTGGCACTCCGGTTTCTTTGGACGATGACTCGGATCTTCCTCCTCTTCCGCCAGGACCTCCACCACCAGCTCAGCCTCTGCGACGTAACGATCAGGCTCAGAACCAGAATTCGCATCCGCAACCTTTCGTCTATAACTCCTTCGGCTATGCTAATTGGAGTCCCATGCAAAACGACGTTTCTCGTACGTACCGTCTCTACTAATATAGTGGCACTTCGTTAGACAATGATGTAAAATAAAGAAGTAGCGTCTGAAAAAATGGAAAAGATAGTGTAGAACCTACGTTACCAGTGAACTTGTTCTTGTGTCAACTTCGATCGATACTTATTTGTCGTTAATAAGTTTTTATTTCAAGTTCTGGGTGATTTGAGTTCAAAACAACAAATTATGATATTTATCAATGTTTTTATTACTGGAGGTCAATTTTGTATGTGGAATTATTTTCTATTGATATTAACTTGCTATTATTTGGGTCGTGATACTGATGTTTCTTGCGAAATCAATTTTATTGGAACGGAGAAATTTCTTTAACAAGATACATTTACATTGCTGTAAGTAATTAATTTCGTCTACAAAGTAAAATTTTTGCTCTGTGAGAAATGAACTTTGTGATAGGGTGTAAAGAAATTTTCTTTGCTCCAAAAAGGTACGATACATTTACGAAAGATTGATAAAAAAAAATTCTACTTTATTCGGACGCGTATCTGCAATCTAAACTTTATCACGAGATTATGAAGGCCCTAATGAGGAACGCGATGCTAATGAAATTTAATTTCTCAAAACAAACATATTTAGCGTAGACTAGAACCAAGATCACATTTTTTTTTTTTTTTTAAAAATGATATTTCATGAACATCGCGTTCTTCCTTAGAGCCTCCATAACCACGTGCTAAAGCTTAAAATTATTTTATACACCCAGGTTGGAGAAAAATTATAAATATATTCACGTTTCATGTATATAGAATGACTCTTTCGTATCACCTTAAACTGTATTATTGCCTAAATTTTCAGAATTCAACGGTCAGATGCGGTTCAACCTGCGGAACAAGAAGATCGGCCTCGGCTTCCCACCCTCGTCTAACAGTGGAGCAGCGAAGAAAAAGCGTAAGCGGAACAAAAGCCTCGTGGCTCAATTGAACGATAGCTTTCAGGGGATTCAGAACGTCCAGGGTATGCAAGCGATGCAGGGAATGCAAGGTCTGCAGGGTCTTCAGGGTCTGCAGGGTCTGCAGGGTCTGCAGGGAGGACCGACGAACTTCGTGGCTGGCCCTAACCTGAAGACGGAACTCCCACCTATGCCTCCACCCTCGGAGTCGGCTCCGAGTCCTCCCAGCCCGAAGGAGAAGCCCGCTCCCCCGGGCCCCGGGGGTCCTGGAGGAGCCGGGGGCGCCGTGGGAGTCGCAGAGCCCCCGAGCCCCGCCAAGGCGACCTCGGCGACCCCCGGGACTCCCTCGTCGGCTCCGTCGGCCCCGGCCAACCCGGTCGACGACTGGCCCGACAGTCTGAAGAACTACGTGAACCGGTGCTACGAGAAGTGCAAGACCGCCGTCGACAAGGACCAGGTGGAGATCATCCTGAAGGGGAAGATCACCAGGGCCGCGAACGACGGCTCCCTCTGGGTTAAGGACTGGGACAAGGAGCCGCTTCCCAGCATCCACAGCGAGAGGATGACCGTTACGGTCAAGGGACAGAACCTGAACCCGAGTCCTGGGGCTAATGTCAATGCTAACGCGAACAACAAGCTCGTCCCCCAGGTAGGTCCCCGTCGGACGGGTCTGTCGACCTCCCTCGGGGCGAGATTGGGCGCCAGACTCTCCGCTGGGCATGGGAATCATGCCAACCATGCCAACCATGCCAACCATGCCAACCATGCCAACCATACGGCAAGAAGAAAGTCTCCTTCGAGGTCCCGGAGCCCTCCACCGGCCAGGAAGTACAGGAGGAGCACCTCGTCATCCTCCTCGACCGATAACAGCGATAGGGACTACGAGTACTCCAAGTCCTCGTCGGCCAAGAAGAAGGCCAACCGCGCCAAGCAGAACCATGCCAGCAAGCGGTCCAAGAAGATCAAACAGACTAAGTCACATTTCTATTCAGAGTTTGGTTTAGCTACAGGCATCGGCGAGGAACTAGGATCACTCGGCTCCAAGGAGAAGCTTCAGCAGCGCGCCGCCAGGTTCAACGACGCCGTCAACGCCAGGCAGGGAAATGAGACTCCCAAGGATGACGGAGCTGTGGACTTTGATTTCACAGGGCTCCATATTATCGGCACCTGCAAGGATATCGAGAAGCCCTACTTGCGTCTCACCTCGGTATATATGAAATTGTCGACTTTTTTTTTTTTTAAGGTGATATGTGCCCATAATTATGAAAGTGGTCTAAGTCAAAATTGAAAAAAAATGAGTTTATCAGTTATTTCACGCCACATTATTTCAAACGAAATTAATTCAATGTAATTTCGAACAAACAATATATGACTTAGACCACTTTCATAATTATGAGCACATATATACTTAACAAAATGTCATAATATTTATATAACTTTTCTCCAAAGTGGGTGCACCGAATTATCTGAAACTTTAACACGTGATTGTGGAGGCCCTAAGAAATAGAGCGCTGCTCGTGAAATTTTTTTTTTTTTTTTAAATGTATTTATCTTGGACAAGAACCAAAAAAATTATTTTTTTTTCGAAAGATGAAATTTCACGGGCAGTGCGTTCTTCCTTAGAGCCTCCATGATCACGTGTTAAAGTTTTGGATAATTTAGTGCAACTAGTTTGGAGAAAAGTTTATTAATATCTTGATTTTTTGGGATGTATGTATCACACTTTCATATCACCTTAAGGAGGTGTGAAAGTGGCATCGAAGAGGTTTTGTTTATGAAACTCTTCTCCCAACTCGGTTTACCGGATAGTTTGAAACTTTACAACGTGAATAGGGAGACTATAAGGAAGGTCCTGAAACCCATGGAATTTCAATTTTAAGGTAATTTGTTTATAGCTACTTTCAACAATTTTAATAGAAAATGAAATTTCAGGTCCTACTTTAGGGCCTCCATATTCACATGGTAAAATTTGAAACGAATCAATGTATCCAATTTGCAGAATTGGACCTCTCAATATTTATAGGTTAACCCTTTCATATCACCTCGATGGGATTCAAATTTGTAATAATTAGTGGTTCTTTCAACAGGCCCCAGCCCCGTCAGCCGTGCGTCCGGTAAGTGTACTTCAGAATTCTCTGGCCCACGTGAAGAAGCGTTGGGTGGCCGAGCAGGACTACAGATATGCCTGCGATCAACTCAAATCCATTCGTCAAGACCTGACGGTCCAGGGTGTCAGAGATTCTTTCACCGTCCACGTCTACGAGACCCATGCGAGAGTCGCTCTCGAGCGTGGCGATCACGAGGAGTTCAATCAGTGTCAGACCCAACTGCGAATGCTCTATCAAGATGTCGGTGGGGAGAATCGATGCGAATTCACTGCTTACAGGATACTCTATTACATTTTCACAAAGAATACCCAAGGTACGTCATCTCTCTTTCACATAATTATGTATTGTAATATTATTCTCATTTAATGTTTCCAATATGGCAAATTCCTAGGGTTGTGCAGGGCTGCGTAGTTTCATATCTAACCTACAAATTTCACTTATATTACGTAAAATATGTCAAAATGTAGTTTAGTATACAAATGAAAAACTAGAAAATAATGTTTACAATATATATAATGACGCAGATATAAGATATATGGCATCCGTTTGGTTATAAACGTCTTTTAGCGTATACATAAACACGTCAATATTTTTAAGGAATAATTAATTTGGCACTGTGTTCAAAATTCTTAGAAACTTGGTATTAACGTGGTTGAGTCGAAAGAATTGTAACGTAAGCGTTAATTAATAAGTTTTTAAAAATGTTTAAGTAATTACATGTGTGCTAAAAGACGTTCATAACCTAGCGGATGCCTTATATCGTGCATATATGATATTCTTCGTATTGGAAACGTAGTTTATTGGTTTTCTAGGATTTTCTATGGTAAATTAGTTGGTTTATGTGGTTTTCATTAAAAACCTTGAGAAACGCGAAATTAACCAACCTTCGTTGTGATTAACTCGGTGCCAATCGATGCCTAACCTACAAACTTGACGTTTCAGATCTAACGACGATACTAGCAGCTCTGACTCGAGAGGAAAAGGAGGACGAGTGTGTAAAACATGCACTGAAAGTGCGTTCCGCCTGGTGGTTAGGCAATTTTCATGCCTTCTTCAAGTTGTACACGGTCGCACCGAGAATGGCAGCGTTTCTGATGGACTGGTTTATCTCCAGAGAGCGGAAGAGTGCTCTCAAGCACATGATTAAATCGTACGTACTCTTTTCATTTATACTCCATTTTTGTTTCCAGACTTTTCAACGTGTTTGCCCTGGTAGAACATACGCATATATGTAATCTACAAAGTAGCGTAAGAAACTCCACTTTATTTCGTTACCAAGTTAGTCAATAGTAACGGTAACGACTCTTGCGAAACAATCCAACATAAATTTTCACAAATGGTCCTTATAAAGTCATCTAAAAATACATGATAATCACGGAACATTTATTAGCCAAGAAGACACTTACTGCTTAACGTCTTACAATTATTAATAAAAAGAAAAAATAAGATTGATGACACGCTGACTGTGTTTATATTTGTACCACATTTGATTCATATTCTAAGCGCTGCTATATTGGATAAGTTGAGTCGAGTTACATTTTTCTTGCAATGATCGTTAATATCACTATCGACTAATTTGGCAAGAAAACATGGGGTCAGAGTTTTCTGGAAAGAAAATGGGAGTTTCATACGCCACGTTGTGCTGAATTTCTTTTCTTTTCAAACAATTACTGTGCTACGTTTCTAGTTCATCATGTATATTTATATAATAGAATTATTCAAATATGTTAGCTATTTGGGAGTGGACGTCCTCTTAATTACTTCAAATAGTGATCTCAAAACATCACGTACATTTTATAATTCATATATGTGTACTTTCGACCAAAGGTTAAGCATAACATTTCACTGGGTTTATCCTTGTCCATCGATCATCTGGGATGCACTTTTATTTGTCCATGATGGAGAGCGATGAAGTGACGGTGGCATTAGTCCTAACCTACAAAACTATCGATTTAAGTGTTCCTTTTACCAAAGACATACGGGTGAAAAATCAAGGAAATTCTGCCACCTCTGATCGATTTCTCACGATTTCAACTCGAGAGGTTATCAGAACTTTTGGTGATTGTGAAAGCATACGGATCGATACTAAATCCGTTGAAATAGTTTTAGGTTAGTGTTAGAAATTGACTCTATTTTGCATCCTGATCGTGAGAACTTCAATCGGAGGTGGGGGTACGTAATCACGATCAGATTTCTGTTTCAGGACATCGAAGGTGTATAATAATATTTAACATATGTCTTAACCGATCGCTTCTCTCGAGGCACCAATTGACGGACCATAACCTAATGTGTATATTTCTTCTGCTGTTTAGCTACCGGCAAAATTTGGCGGTTGATTTCGTCGTCGCGGAATTGGCCTTTGAATCTTTGGACAAGTTTTATGAATTTGTCAATGAGTTCGGATTGGTTTATGCCGATCCGGAGAGACGACTAATCGACTGCAAGACCAGCAGTGGTTCTCTAGTGTCTTGGTAAACACAGCGAAGGTTCTCGTCCTTTCTCTTTCAAGGATACCGCAAAAGCCAATTTGTGTCGGAGTTGGTTGCGGTATCTTGTGGACCCTCCGGGACACCCTGGAGGCTCTCTCTCGCCCTTCGACTCCACTCGATTCGACTCGACTCGAGTTGAAACCACAGATATCGAGCCACTCTAGCATCCTTGGAGTGTGCCGTTCGAATCCACTTTTAATTCCACTGAACGATCCGCTCACATCTCGTTCACGGGCGCCTCGTTTCGTCCCTTTGCACAGAATTTGTACATAACCTCACCTATGGTAACCTGTCACGCCGACACACTACGCCTTCGTCTACCGGTTGGTAGCTTTTAATCAGCTCTCAGCGTTGGAAGGAAGCATCGGATATCGGTATGAAGCCGACGAGGATGGGGAAGAAGTCGAGGAAGGAACGATTCCTTGAGTAGCCAAGTCCAGTCGGGAGGGGTTAAGCTGGGGTTAAACTCGTCTCGGGTCTCCCTCTTCGAGGTTAGGAAACCTACCATCCTGCGTAGCGAAGGGGTCATCTGGAGGATACAGCTTGTAGATTGCCGAGGAACCTTTTACTTTCTCAAGAGGAACCCGTTGAAGAGGACGTCTTCGACTTCTGGGAGATTCTTCTTGCGATGGAGGAATATATATGGTGTTCGGTCCTGCTCGGAGAGGCTGCCGATGCTGAGGTTTACCTTGTCTGCAGCTTTCGGCTCGTCGCATCGACTTATTTCCTTTGCCAAGAAGAGTGTCGGACGCGGAAGAAGTGCATCGCGTTAATGGATATTTTTTAATGCAGGTGGTTTACTCCGAAAGGATAAGCACTATCGAGAATGGCTCAGCGAAGAAGAGGAATGGTGGATTACGTCGAAAGTTAGACGCGAGTGCTTATCGAACGATCATTTTTTTGATATGCTTGGAGATGAAGAGAGGGAGAGTGCCGGCGAGAAACGAGTTTATCGAATCAAGAAATTCTTCGGTCCTGCTGGGACCGAACTTGTATATTGCCAATTGATTATTACGTGTATAATAAAGTATTTAATTTTTTGAGAACCTGTTGACTCGGTTGTGTATTCGTTCGAGGTAATCCTAGCAATTTGAGAAGAGGTACTCATTAGTGTTGCCAATTTAGTGTATTTTCTAATATATATATCGGAATGGTCAAATCGTTGGTGAAAGTATTCTCTGAGTTGGGTGTATCGATTCGTTCCAAATTTTAGCACGGAAATATGGAGACTAAAGTTGGTCCCGAGACTCGTGAAATTTCATTTTTCATACAGAATTTATTTGTTTATCAAAATATAACAAAAATATAAACACCACACTGTGAAATATATAAAAATATAATGACGTTATGAAGAATTTCAAAACGAAAACTGAACGTTATAAAATACACAACGGATATTCACATGTTATACAGAAGTTTTGGGCAAATTTTCATTTTCCAAATTATGTCTGTCCGCACCTTTTATGGTAACCGATTCAGTACTTTCACAAAGAATCTCATAGAGTAAATCAGGACATGCCTTTAATAGCGGGAATTCTGGTCTATTTCTAATTACTTTAACATTCTTGACAATGTATCGGATAGTTGAGGATCTCAATAATTGTAAATTGTGTTTATCGGCAAGGATTAAAGTATTCACCGAGTTTTCCGGAGTGATTTTTGTATGTAAAACATTTTGGCACATTTCCTTCATAGTTTTAATGTCGTATTTATCAGCTAGATATACTAGCTCATAAGCTTTGTTTTTCACTTCGTCGATGGGTCCAAGATAAAGGAATTTGAGCATTAACTCAACTAGAGTGCCTTCCACGTCCGTTATTTTTACTGTATTTCTGGTTACTTCTTGCATCTCGCTCTCAAACATCTTCTGGAAAACTGGACTATTCGCAGCAAGTACAGCCTTATGCGCATGAAATTGTTTGTTTAAAGCTACGAGGGTCACATCACTGAATTGTCTGCTTTTCCAAAGGTACTTTGAGACGCTACTGATATGCTGCGAGGGTTCTTGGAAGGGATCTCTTTCTTGACGAGCAGACTGTTTCTCTTCTATTACATAAAACTTACAAGTTACCGTAAGTACATCGGAACTTTTCCATTCCGTGAATGGTACTGCATATCCTGTCATATCCTTAAACAATGATTCAGAATAACGCATCCAAAAGTTTGAATCAATTTTTTTAGTCCAACTATCCTGACCACCAGGACCACGATACGATATCGTTATAATGTAACGTATAAATGCAAACTTTGAAGTGCACTTCATGCATGATTCGTAATCAAAGTGACAACAAAGCGTCAAATGATCTCGACATCTTGTGATTGTGTTCTGTGGGAGAAGATGCATTTCCAAATAACCACTAGAACAGCTTAACTTCAACTCCCAGGTCAAAGAACAATTTTCTTCGAGAACTATTTTATACGTTGTTCTTCCTAACTTGTTGAGAATGAATCCAATATCGTTTATACTATAAGTATGGGCATATAATTGCCGTTCATATTTTGTGTCATCGAGAAATTCTGCGAGTTCCTTAAAAGAGTTCATCACCGTATCGCGTTTCTCCATCTATGTTTATTACTGAAGACAAGCCTGGAATTAACAAAGCGTTCAAATAAACATCAACCCTCACATTAGTAGTAAATATAAAAAAGTAAGTCTCTTAGTAATTATAAAAACCTACTTTTGAAATGGAGAGACGATGTGCCAAACAGGAGTGTTGCAGGAAGGATGATACTGCGCTGTAAAAGTTCACTTATTTCAAATGTAACGAGAAGTAGAATTCATGAAATAACGAGGAGTGGGGATTCCCAGAAGCCGCACATAACCTCTGAAATTTATAGTGAACTGTAGTAAACTGAACCATAGAATTTACCAGGGCGTTAATTACGTATTTTGGACGAGAGCGTTCACTTCTCGCACTTTCATCTCACGTGGGTTTATTCGCCGACTTACGTATTCGCTATATGAAAGAACGAGATCACTAGTACTTCCGGTCTAGTAATACTGCAAATAAAGGTACATACCTTGTAAATCGAAAATTGTTGAGAGGTAGGGGATTATAGGCAGGAAAGGCGGGAAGATGGAAAGCCGTTAAAAGTAAAGAAGAAGACTCGAGTCTATCTATATTTTTTAAATACGTATTACATTCATATTTACATGCACTATAATTAGAAGTTAAACGATATAATTTTCTTATCGTGTCATGTAAGCATGAATTATTTAACAGTTTTCAATGTTTAATAATGTAACATAACCTCGCAGTAACAAAAACTAACCTGTACATCCTAGTAAATTCTCTTTCTTCTAACGAAAATGGGTCCGAGGCATCACGTAATTCCCTTCTTCTTCTAATAAGGTTATCATTACGTCCCCGAATACGATCGTTGCCAAAAATCAAAACACCCAGGAGGTTCTCCATTTTGAATTTCGGTGTCACGATCCGTGGAAGATGGCGCTCACGGCGCTTATTTTTCTATCTTTTCTTGTGTGCTTCCCCATTTCGCTTAAAAATTTGTGCCAAGCCAGTTCATATGAATGGTCTCGCATTTTCACCACCAAAAACGTTCCGTAATACCGTGAGCTCCTCATTTTTCACATGTTCGCTCAATTTGCTTTATGTAATAGTAGAGATGAGCATCTCTAGAGTTCTAAATCCAGTAAGTTACGTCAGAAACGAATAGAAATTCCCGGTAACTTATCGGTAATTTCTCCAAAGCCTTTTTTATCGAGAAATTATGAGAATTTGAATTTTTCAACAGAGCGAACGAGAGGTTTCGATTAGCTATAGAGAAACATCGTAGAGGGGAATTTCCGTTGTACGTTCTCCGTAGCCAATCAAAACTTCCCATTCGCTTCGTCGCAGAATGAAATATCAGTTCGTTTGAAACAAATCGCATGGAATTTTCCGTGAAGTTGTACATACGTGAATATTTTTAGCTGGAGGTAAATACGACCCTATAATCAATATTTTCTAATAGTAATTATTACTCTTTAGCTTGAACTTTGAAAAAAAAAAAGTTATTTAAACGAAGAAACCTAAAGTATAAATAACAAAATTAACGTTCTCTTAAATTCTCAATGTTCCCGGTAATTTACGGTAAGTTTCACAGTTACCTTCTCCAATTTAATATTACCGAGAATTTTCGAACTCTACCGCCGCACTCCTGTGGGGATTGTCAAATATATTTCACCACTTTATCTATAGCAGAGATGCTGTCAATAGTTATTGTTTTATTATCACAGAAAAAGGAGCGGATATCCACGTGCACTCTAGAATTGGTCACAAAGTCTTCTTCTTGAGTTTCAACCGTTTTAAAAACATTTTACGACGTAGTCCTCTTTTCGTTCGAGGTAAGTACAGTAATGTGCACGCGGGGTAACGCAGTTTTTTACGCCGTCCTGAACGCATCGCGCTCGTCGCGCGCCACGCCCCTGGTGGTCGATGTCCGGACTTCGCCCAGGCCCGCCACCTGCCGGGTCTCTCCGCAACCAAGATGTCGTTCTTCTAGCGCCGCTCCCAGTCCGCGTCTACACCCGCGCGAGCTTGCGCTCGGCGTATTTCGGCGTACTTTTCCGCGGGCGTGTAAGTGTAACGACGCGCCTTGCCCGGTCGAAGGCTACCCGTTGGTTCCGCCGTGAGCCGTTACGACTGGTGCGGACCTGAAGAAGTCGACCGACGCCGAGAGGAGATCCGACATTGGCGTTGGCGTTGGTCCGGTGCGTGATGTGAGTCGAAGCCCCGAGTTAGCCCAACCGTTGGTTGCCTCTTGAGCCTTCCGAGGTGTTTCTTTAAGCGCGCCAACCTCGCTGCGGACCCGGTCGGCTCGGCTCACGAGCGATGTGACGAGCTGGGGAGCGTCTTCGAGGTGATTTAAAGGAGGCGCGAGAGAGATCCCCGGGGAATCGACGACCACTCGACGCCGGGCGAGCGACTCGCAAGTCCTTTGCTTTTTCACTCGGTAGACTCGCGACCGCGCGCCCATAACAGGCACGTGGCCACTCAAGGTAAGCCTCTCTAGAATTTACAGGCTTAGTGCTCTTGCTGTAGTCATCTTGTCTCCTGTGCGACATTAATTCAATGCTCTTTTCATGCCAAAGGTACCTGCTCCCTCTTCGAGCCTAACCTCCTTCCACTCTCCGAAGTCTCCGATCGCTTCGCTCTCTCTGGTAACGATATCGACGCAGGTGTTCCGAGCCTTAGGGGTGTCGACATTGATTATTTGCTGAGTCGAAAGGAAACTAGAGCTTCTTTTTGTTAAGGTCAGGGAGTGGTGGGTGAAGATACGGATAAATTATTACTTTTTCAGTGCTTTTTGTTTTTAAAGTCTTCGATCGCTTCGCTCTCCCTCGTAACGATATCGATGCAGGTGTTCCGAGCCTTAGGGGTGTCGACGGTGGTTACTTGCTGAGTCGAGAGGGAACAAGAGCTTTTTGCTAAGGTTAGGGAGTGGTGGGTGAAGATACGGATAAATTATTACTTTTTCAGTGCTTTTCGTTTTTAAAGTCTTTGATCGCTTCGCTCTCCCTCATAACGATATCGACGCAGGTGTTCCAAGCCTTAGGGGTGTTGACGTCAATTACTCAATGTGTCGAAAGGAAATTAGAGCTTCTTTTTGTTAAGGTTAGGGAATGGTGGGTGAAGATACGGATAAAGTATTACTTTTTCAGTGCTTTTTGTTTTTAAAGTCTTCGATTGCTTCGCTCTCCCTGGTAACAATTTCTATGCAGGTGTTCCGAGTCTTAGGGGTGTCGACGTTCATAACTCAATGTGTCCAGAGGGAACTAGAGCTTTTTGTTAAGGTTAGGGAGTGGTGGGTGAAGATATGTATAAATTATTACTTTTTCAGTGCTTTTTGTTTTTAAAGTCTTTGATTGCTTCGCTCTCCTTGGTAACGATATCGATGCAAGTGTTCCAAGTCTTAGGGGTGTCGACATTGATTACTCACTGTGTCAAGAGGGAAATAGAGCTACTTTTAGTTAAGGTTAGCGGGTAGTGGGTGAAGAAACGGATAGATTATTACTTTCTCAGTGCTTTTTGTCTCCGATCGCTTCACTCTCTCTGGTAACTATATCAACTGAAGTGTCTTCAGTCTTTGGGGATGTTGACGTTGCTTGCTCACTGTGCCGAGAGAGAAATAGAGTTTCTTTTTGTTAAGATTAGGAGTGGTGGGTGAAGATAAGGATAAATTATTGCTTTTCCGATGGTTTTAGTGTGGATCGTTATTATGGAATCGCTTCGTGTCACGCTGAAGAGGTCAATTTTGTGTTTTGTTACTCAAGTCTAGTAAGAGTGCTAACTGAAAGAAACTACCGTCATTTTGTAATTTCCATTATAGTAAGTGACGATGACCGAGAACTATCATAGGTGATGGTTCTTATTGATGATAACGATGAGAACATTGAAATATTTCTGATCCATGTGCTATACCTGGAAATCAACTTTAACTTACTTTCAATCTCGGTATTTCGCATTTTCACTCAGAGGATATAAAGTGAATAAACTCACATGAGATAAAAGTGCGAGGCACAAATTTATACAATTTTTTCAAGTGGTGTAATACATCCACAATAGTGCATTCGCTCAAAACTTTTTCCCCTACACTTTCAATCTCGGTATTTCACATTTTCACTCAGAGGATAGAAAGTCAGGTGGATAAACTCACATGAAATGAAAGTACAAGAAGTGAAGACTCTCACCAAAGACACAAAATCGACTTCTATTAGCTACATCAATCGACAGAGAGAGGCAGGGAGAACGAGAGATTGGATTTACATTTATGAAAGATCAACATAAAAGGGAGGGAATAAACAACAATCTAAGTGTTTATCAATAATATAGGCTACAAGTTTATTTAACGATACCATTCAAAAGGGCACGTTTAATTAGAAACGGTTATATGAGTTAATGAGACCGAAGAGACATTACTAAGGCTCGGTCCATCTCAGTCGAAGTCGTTATCCCAGCTCTTCGAAGCAATCGAAGTCAGGAAATTGTCTTTGCATCAGATTCTAAATCATGGATCGGCTGCTTCTCCAACCTGAGAAGAAAAAAATTCATCGAATCAAAGAAACGTTTCTTTGAATAGTACCGAAGAAATATTTAATTAATTCCAAGAATAATTAGACTGAAATAAATTGTCATAATTCCAAATAAATTATGCATTCAATTTATTCGAGCTTATACGAGTCAGATAATTATTCTTAGAATTAACAATTCTATTCAAAGAAATATTGTATAAAAGATACCATTCAAAGAAATATTTCCTCGGCTCGATGATATTTCTCTTCTCGGTGCAATTCCCTGGACTCCGATGCTTCTCGAGTGTGCATTCCCTTCAGTTTTTAATATCTCCTACGCCCTCTTCTACAAAAGCCATTCTTTCAGGTCGAAGTTTCTAGTACCTAGTGCGGTACGAACTGTCAACGGGTTTTGCCTTAGTTCGTGTCGTGTTCGAAAGTCGAAAAGTCTAAACGGTTAAGTGTACAAATACTGTCGGTCTAAAAGTAAACCCACGCCGAGTACGTGACTAAGAAATGAGAAAAAGTTGAGTTCGAGTACGGAGTTATACCTATGTATACAAGTACATGTATATGCGAGTAAGTAACGCAAAGTAACGGGTTTAAAGTTCTAACCGGAGGTGTAAGTCGTGTAAGTACGAAAATGTCGGGTGTCGGGTGTACCGTGACAATCGTGCGCGTTATGACTTCAAGAGCGAGTACCGCATGGCCGCTTTTCTATACACAGGTAAGCTCAGCGACGCTGCCGTACGACGTAGCGTTTCCCTGCTACCTTCGACGGGCACCGACGCATTTTCTTTTGCAAATAAGAGGGGCCGAGATTTCGGGCGACTGCCTTTTAAAATGCCTTCTTACACCCCGAGCCCTGGACGTCCACGCCTCGACGACTTGGCCAGTCAGGTTAACCTCACTCGCGAGGGAACTCGGAGCATCGGAGAGGTTATGTCGCGAGGTTGCGACGGTGGCGCCGCGCAGCGCCTGTTTTGGTCTCCAGTATCCGTTAGGACACTATAGCCAACTCAACTCTAGTGATTTCTTGTATTGGATTGGCAACTAAGTGGTTGCGGATTTTCTCGATAGATTGTATTAAAAAATCCGGATTAACTTACTTGCCAAATTAATTGTTTTTAACTGCTTTTTGTATCATTCAGTTGTTTTGTATTCGAGGTTGTCTTCTTTGTGGGTGTCAGTACTGATCTGTATAATAAGGCCGTGTTCGAATTCGATTTATTACGTAGTATATACTACACACTATACTGTATAAAAATAATGGTAGAGTTTCGAGCCAAATACATTTTTGAGCGAGATACTAAATACTTGGGACCAGGTGTTTGAATTCGATTTAGTACGTAGTATACAGTACATACTATACTATATAAAAATAATGGTAGAGTTTCGAGCCAAATACATTTTTAAGCGAGATACTACACTATATAAAAAACACGGTAGAGTTTCGAGCCAAATACATTTTTGAGCGAGATACTATATACTTGGTACCAGGTGTTCCAATTCAATTTAGTACGTAGTATACAGTACGTACTAGACTATATAAAAAAAAAGGTAGAGTTTCGAGCCAAATACATTTTTGAGCGAGATACTACACTATATAAAAAACACGGTAGAGTTTCGAGCCAAATACATTTTTGAGCGAAATACTACATATATGAGATCAGACGTTCGAATTCGATTTAGTACGTAGTATACAGTATATACTAGACTATATAAAAAAACACGGTAGAGTTTCGAGCCAAATACATTTTTAAGCGAGATACTACACTATATAAAAAACACGGTAGAGTTTCGAGCCAAATACATTTTTAAGCGAGATACTACACTATATAAAAAACACGGTAGAGTTTCGAACCAAATACATTTTTGAGCGAGATACTATATATATGAGACCAGGTGTTCGACTTCGATTTAGTACGTAGTATACAGTACATACTAGACTATATAAAAAACACGGTAGAGTTTCGAGCCAAATCGACTTCGATTTAGTACGTAGTAAACAGTACAAACTAGACTATATAAAAAACACGGTAGAGTTTCGAGCCAAATACATTTTTGAGCGAGATACTATATACTTGGGGCCTTGTGTTCGAATTTGATTTAGTACGTAGTATACAGTACATACTAGACTATATAAAAAACACGGTAGAGTTTCGAGCCAAATACATCTTTGAGCGAGATACTATATAGTTGAGACCAGGTGTTCCAATTCGATTTAGTACGTAGTATACAGTACATACTACATTATATAAAAAAACATGGTAGTGTTTCGAGCCAAATACATTTTTGAGCGAGATGGCTTCCCCAATGGATACCACTGCGCATGCGCAACTTGAGATTAGTACATATTTCAAACCACGGGATGGCACTGATGTCAGTATACCTTTCGCTCTATTTAATACTCTTTGTTTGCCACTCTGTCCGCGTAATATAGGAAGAGACAGAAACAAATTACTGTTGGGCGATGATTTGAGATTCTTTACGTAAAGTACTTAAGGTGAAGTGAGACCCCCTTCAAATCAGTCGATTCGAATACAAAAAATTTTTTTTAAGGGTATTAGATCAAACTGTCCGAAACTTTGTCACATGATCATCTAGGAATTGTCATCCTGATCATCTAAGAATTGTCCTGACAGATTCGAAATTTGGATTTTTGGAACAAATTTTTTAACTTAGCCCAGATCAGAACCAAAATGGCATGGTGCTCTCGTATTTCGATCGATATACAATTATCGAAGGCTCTGATATGAGAATCGAAAGGGTTAGGACAATTTTACGACAATTTAGAACACTCTGGTAATCGATAAACTCGCAGTTAAACGAGATAAAGGCAAAAAAAGTGTTTTATGCGCTTCTATGATAAAACGATGGGAATACGAGATCTCGGAGTGAAAATTTAATTGACCTGGAAATCACAGATGGCGCATGGGGTCCCTTTGCAGTCAATTAGGGGCCCAGAAAGTATGAATCCAGAGAATTTCTGGAGTTTTACTACGATTTCTTTATAATTATTGTACGAAAACGACAGGTGGAGTATTCCATTTGGTACAATATCCAATATAATTCGACCCAGTTGTCGATATAAAAACCAACGTCGGCAACGTAGGTATTTATAAAAATCTTGTTTACCGACTTCGATGAAATTCCTGGGCATGTTTCACTTCACCTTAAAGGCTCCACCAGGAACCTCTCCGATGCACCCTGGTTCCCAGCCGACGGTCGGCCGGTCGTGGAGGCGCGGACGGGAGCCCCCCTCGCATCGACTAACCCCCAGGATTGGTTTCAGGGTAAAGTAGACCCTCGGGGCGATGTCGGACTCCGGGTCGGAGAGCCGGTCCTCGGCGGAGGCGTTCGACCGGGCCGGCACCCCGGACACCCCGGACAGCCCCGACAGCCCCGGGTGGGCGGCCAGTCGCAGCTCGGCTTCCTCCGGGGGAAGGCCTGCCCCGTCGCCCCTCGGGAAGGCGGGGACGCCCCTCTCGGCCAGTCCCGGATCGTCCCCGGGGAAGCCCGACTCGCCCGCGTCGTACGACTCGGCGAGTCTCGGCTCGTCCCCGGGGAAGCCTGACTCGCCCGGGTCGCCACGCTCCGGGAGGGACTCTCCCGTGGAGACGAGGTTCGCCAGGGCCAACCTGGAGGAGGAGGAGGAGACCAGGTTCGGGAGGCGCGACGGGTCCAGGACCTCCAGGTGGGTAACGATGGATTGGTACTGATTAAGTTTCGATACTTACTAGTCGGTGTCGAGGAAAGATATCGATACGCACTCCGCAATAATGAAAAGTACTGGTACCTGCTTGATATCGATATTTATTACTAGTATCGAGAAAGGATTTCGATGTGTACTCGATGTCGGGGACAATATTGATACGCACTCCGCGATAAAGAAAAGTATTGGTATGTGTTTGGTATCGATATTTATTACTCGTATCGAGAAAGGATTTCGATGTGTACTGGATGTCGGGGACAATATCGATAGGTATCGATACGCACTCCGCGATAAAGAAAAGTATTGGTATGTGTTTGGTATCGATATTTATTACTCGTATCGAGAAAAGATTTGGATGTGTACTGGATGTCGGGGACAATATCGATAGGTATCGATACGCACTCCGCGATAAAGAAAAGTATTGGTATGTGCTTGGTATCGATATTTACTACTCGTATCGAGAAAGGATTTCAGTGTGTACTCGATATCGGGGAGAATATCGATAGGTATCGATATGCACAACGCAATAAAAAAAAGTATTGGTACGTGCTTGGTATCGATATGCACAACGCAATAAAAAAAAGTATTGGTACGTGCTTGGTATCGATATTTATTACTCGTATCGAGAAAGGATTTCGAAGTGGACTCGATATCGGGGATAATATCGATAGGTATCGATATGCACTCGGCGGCGAAAAAACGATATTTACTAGTCGCTTCGAGGAAACGTTTCGATATGTACTCGATGTCGGGGAAAATATCGATACGGCGGACATGAATGCCTCCCCTGCGGATACGGCATCGCCTCTGCAGGATGGGAGAGCGTTGATGTCTCCCAGTGTACAATGACGGACATGAATGCCTCCCCTGCAGATACGGCATCGCCTGATGGGAGAGCGTTGATGTCTCCCAGTGTACAATGACGGACATGAATGCCTCCCCTGCAGATACGGCATCGCCTCTGCAGGATGGGAGAGAATTGATGTCTCCCAGTGTACAATAGCTGACATGAATGCCTCCCCTGCAGATACGGCATCGCCTGTGCAGGATGGGAGGGCATTGATGTCTCCCAGTGTACGTACGTATATACGCGTGCGTTAGTATTTGACGCCAAACTCTACCGAGTTTCCTGATATTTATCTTTCTCCCCAGGAGTTCGGACAGCCGCGGCTCGAAGCCGGCCTCGCCAGACACCCGGGACGATCCTGGTGCCGTTGACGATGACAAACATTGTGCAAACGAGCTGGACGGCGAGCAGATCTCGGATGGCGATATAGAGGACGAGCCGAGGCCCGCCGAGAGGGTCCCCGAGAGGGCCGTCGACCACGGCGAGGACCTCTCCGACGTGTCCGACCTGGAGAGCATGGACGGCGCCGAGGAGGCGCCGGAAGAACGCCGCGACGACAAGGAAGAACGACCCGAACGGATGGAGGAGGACCGCAAAGTCGTCCCCGAGGACAAGGCCCCCAGCACGACCCTCGCCGAGGAAAATGAGCAACTCGACTTCGAGGCCGATGGCCGGTGGAAAGACGAACGCGAGGATGGTGAGGCATTTCGTTTTGAAATTTCGTCCTCTATCGGTGTTTCCTTATCAATGGATTCGCACGCCATGCGGCACGTTTCGTAGCAGCCGTTTCGTTGCCGTTACCCCTTTCGTTACGGCAGTCCGCTAAGTTTTTTATGAAAGATGAAATTTCATGAGTTTCAGGACCTACTTTAGCGCCTCCACATTCCCGTGGTAAAATTTGAAACTAATCGGTACCCCCAATTCGTAGAGTAGTTGCCCCAACGATTTGACTTCTTTATTTATATTTATTTTGGTCTTTTACAGTTTATGTTGAGAATTATACGAATTGAAGGGTTTTATATGTCATTTCGGTAAAATAATGATAAAAAGAGCGACGTAAAACTGCCGAAATCCCACGAATTCATGACTGTTTCTATTTTGACGAACCAACGTCGCCATCTGTGACGTTTAGCTGCAACTACATTTTTTCTCTAGAAATACGCGTTAGCCCCGAGGCAAGCCAGCAGTCTCTTGCAATCGTTGATGAAAGTATTTTCCATATTTTCCCATCTGTCTCTGTAATATTCCATTTTTATAGTATTCTAAATTGTTCGAGCTAGGTCCTGAAACTCTTCATTTTCGATTATAAGCCTCCTAGAAGCATAAAACATAAAAAAACGTGCACGGACCACGCCATGTTGGTTCGAGTCCATGATAAATTATTAAATTTTTGATGAAAAATGAAATTTCGTTAGTCTCAGGATCTACTTTAGCGCCTCCACATTCCCGTGGTGAAATTTGAAACTAATCGGTACCCCCAATTCGGAGAATACTTTCCCCAACGATTTGACCTCTCCGATATATGTGCCCATAATTATGAAAGTGGTCTAAGTCAAAATTGAAAAAAAAAAAAATGAGTTTATCAGTTATTTCACGCCACATTATTTCAAACTAAATTAATTCAATGTAATTTCGAAACAAAAAATATATGACCACTTTCATAATTATGGGCACACATCTAGGCTGACTCTTTCATATCACCTTAACCGTTGTGCCTGCACCTCCTAGGGGACGCCGAGCCCGGGAAGGATCAGAAGGAGGCGAAAGAGCGAGACGAGCGGGCGCCCGAGGACACTAAAGAAGAGGAGGAGGAAGAGGATGACGAGAAGGGCGTGATCAAGGAGGAAAAGGACGCCGCCCGGGACAAGGACCCGGAGGAAGACGGCGAGAAGGCCGAGTCGGAGCTGGAGGAGGGCGAGCTGAGCGACGGCGAAGACGCCCGCCCCGAGGAAACCGAGCCCAGGCCCGTGTGCCGGTTCTACAACCGGGGCCAGTGCACCTGGGGCGTCAGTTGCCGCTTCCTGCACCCTGGGGTCACCGACAAGGGCAACTACACCATGTTCGACATGGTGCGCCCCGTGGCCTTCCCGCCCCACGCCCTGGGCACCGCCTCCGGGCCCGGCCTGGAGTTCCGGGCCGGACACCCCGGGGATCGCGCCGCAGCTCCGGGTCGACCCCTGCCCGCCGTCGCCCCCTACGCCCTCCACTCGCACATGTCCAAGATGGAGGAACTTCCTGCGGAGTCCGCGTGGGAGCGCGGCCTTCGCCACGCCAAAGAGGTGAGTCTCCTCGACAGGGTTGTGCGGTGCCGCGTCATTCGAGGTTTTTTACGTAAAATACTCAAGGGGATATGAAAGGGTCATTATATGTATGTAAGTGTGTACTTGGCGCGAAACTCCACCGAGGGTTCTAATGAGAGTTCTGTAGCGCAAGGAGTTCTAAAATACGGAGATATTAATTTTTATAGGTTTAATAAGCCCGAATTTGGCGTTTCATGTATACACGTGGCTTCGCTCATATTTATACAGCGTCTTTAAATGTATACTTAGCGCGAAACTCCCCCGAGGGTTCTAATGAGAATTCGGTTGCGCAAGGAATTCTTAAATGCGGAGAAATTAATTTTTATAGGTTTAACAAGCCCAAATTTGGCGTTTTATGTATACACATGGCTTCGTTCATACGTTTACAACGTGTATGTAAATGTATACTTGGCGCGAAACTCCACCGAGGATCCTAATGAGAGTTCCGTTGCGCAGGGAGTTTTAAAATACGGAGATATTAATTTATATAAGTTTAACAAGCCCATATTTGGCGTTTCGCGGATACGTATACAGCGTATGTAAATGTATACTTGGCGCGAAACTCCACCGAGGGTTCTAATGAGAGTTCTGTAGCGCAAGGAATTCTAAAATACGGAGATATTAATTTTTATAGGTTTAACAAACCCATATTTGGCGTTTCATGTATACACACGGCTTCGTTCATACGTATACAACGTATGTAAATGCATACTTGGCGCGATACTCCACCGAGGATCCTAATGAGAATTCCTTTGCGCAAGGAATTCTAAAATGTGGAGATATTAATTTTTATAGGTTTAACAAGCCCATATGTGTATACTTGGTGCGAAACTCCACCGTGGTTCCTAACGAGAATTCCTTTGCGCAAGGAATACTTAAATACGGAGATATTAATTTTTATAAGTTTAACAAGCCCATATTTGAGGTTTCGCGCATAAGTGTATACTTGGTGCGAAACTCCACCGAGGTTCCTAACGAGAATTCCTTTGCGCAAGGAATACTTAAATACCGAGATATTAATTTTTATAAGTTTAACAAGCCCATATTTG